TTTAAAGAGGAAAAAAACCCCAAAGAAAAAAAAAAAAAAAAAAAAAAAAAAAAAAAAAAAAAAAAAAAAAAAAGGAATCCAGAAGAAAGAGAAATATATTTAGAGCATTTACTGAAAAATACTTTAATAATAACTGCACGTGCCTTGTTCAAGAGCCAACTATTATGCGGTCAATTTGCTGCCTCGCTTGCTCATCTCATCAATCATAACTTCTCGTTATATCCTGTATTATATTTCCTGACGGTAAATATAGGCTGCGTGAAGTTTTAGGACCCACCCGTAGCTGCTTTAGTAAGATTTAAATAAAGCATGTATATTAAAACCTAGGAAGGTCCAGTCACAGTGAACGGTAGTTGAATTCTAAACAAGCCTGAACAGGCAGGCATGGTAGTGCTATCTGGGAGGTGGAATGGTGACATTAACTGAGAGCTGGCAAGGTGGTGCTAACTGGGAGGCTACGGCAGATGATTGTAACCGCAAGACTGTCAAATAAACCTACCTCCTTCTCTCCCTCATCTTTATCTTTCTTTATTATTAAAAACAAACAATAATAAAAATAAAAAATAATAACAGCTAAAAAAGGAAGGTAGCATAAAATAAATTACAAGATCATATGACACACTAAAACATAAATGAAAAAAATACATAAATAAAACAGAAAGCAAAACTGAAAAAAAAAAAATCGGTAGAGGGCAGCAGGTGACATGGTAGTTAAAGCACTGGATTTCCACATGGTCAACCTCAGTTTGAGTCCTGAACCTAGTGTCTTGAAAATCACACTGGGCACGTATGCATGCATGCTCAAAATCCTAAGAGACGAATAAAGGAGAAAGGATTTTGGTGTGGCAATAGCCCCTGGGGAATGATTTCCCAATTTCCTTATCTATCTCACCAATGTACTTACTTTATGGCAAAAATCTGAGAACAAAACAAAAGCCAAACCAAACAAACACAATGCCTAGAGAAACACCTTGAAGTTTATCTGATCAAATTGTGCTTTACTACTCTAAGAAATGTAGAGAGGCTGCTACCGGTTCATTCTTTACAGAATTAATTCTCATCCATTCATGATCAGGTACCAAACATCATGAATGTAAAAATATAGGTGTTTTATTTTATTTTATTTTACTGTAGGCATAGAATCCCTCTGTGTTGTGATCCTGCTGCTCAGCTTCCTGAGTAGCTAAGATTACAGCTACTGTAATCTTGTACCATCATGCCCAGCCTTTAGGGTTGGTTGAGAATGGAATCTGGGCCTCCCATGCGGCCTAAGCCTGCCAAGCAGCATGTGATACTTTAGCTGGACCTGTGACTAGTCTTTCATTCAAATGTTCTAAGTGATATTTTGCCTAACTTTCCCCAGGGTGACACGGACCAATGAAAAAATCATCCTGTTGGAGTATTTCCATTACATATTTACGGCTATACAGAACAGGTGGTATATTAAAGTAATTAAACACATACAAAGATGAACACAGAGACACCATGTTTATTATTCATTTTTGTGCCAAGCATTATGCTAATAGATCCAGATATAAATATAAAGAGTTTGACCATGAATAATTTAATATCTAATTAGGAGAGAAATCGCTCTTAGTCTTTTTTTTTTTTTTTGCAGAGGTTTCTGCTATGGAGTGCGTGCACTCGCCAGAAAGACAGAGAGAGATAGAGAGATAGGAAGCACGAGAAATCACCCCCAGGGGGGATGGCCACGCCGCAATCCCTTCTCTTCCGTTATCCTCCCGAGATCTTGGGCACGCACGCACACGCGCCCGGCGTGCGTGAGTTTAACCACCAGGTCCGGGACTTGAACCGCGGTCGACTACATGGGAGTCCGGCGATATAGCCACCACGCTAACTGCTGGTCCCTTGCTCTTAGTCTTCAAACCGAAGACTGTCTATTTGTGGATGGAATATGCTAGAATTGTGGTCCGCAGACTTTTTTTAATTTAATTTCTGTTGCCCATTTCATGGGGATTCTGATTAAAACTGTATTTCTGGTACCAGAATTAGACTGAGAGGTATTTGTCCCAAGCATCTGTATAAGAAGGCAATGGGCTGTGTCAACCATAACATTTTCTTAGTCGATATTACAACACATTTCAGTAGTACTCTTGAGAGAAGAACTGCACCAACAAAGGAACAATCTGAGGAAAGCTACATGTGGACCAAACTTGGGATGTGTGTAGGACTGCTTGAATGGGGAGGTGTCGTTAGTGTGCTCAGGGGGAAATGATTAGCCGCAGGCTAATGCTACTCCCTGTACAGTCCTCCGCCTCTCAGCTGAGTTTTTACCAAATGGTAGTAGCGATCGGTTTGCTGTTGTCACGGAAGAACACCTGTTTCTAACTGCTTCATCATGCCAGTTACTAAAACCTTAACAGGACTCGGGCTTGGTAAAAGTTTGCGTTCACTCATTAAACTAGAGGATCTTAATGAGTTGACTAGAGAAAAGGTCATTATTGGGCACGGTGGTTAAGGGCACTGGACTCCCACTTGGCCAACTACAGTTTGAGTCCTGCACCTGGTGGCTTGCTTTCTCGTTTTCTCTCTCTCTTTCTCTCTGACCCTCTCCGGTAAGATTAAAATAAATAAATGCATAAATAAAGTTCAATGAAGTAATTGTTTCCAAGGAAAAAGGTCATCATTTCACCTTTCATTTCAGACGAGGCAACATCTGGGCGATTACAGTTCCAGAGAAATTTTACCTAATGAATGTTGCCATCTATCACCTTTTGAAAGGGATCTTCAAAACAAAGTTAACTTCCTTTTCTCTACGTAAAAAATGGAACTTTTACAAGCTCTTCCCTTTTTTAAGGGTGGTTTTGTGCCAGTTCATAGGAGAGGAAACACTCAAATGACAGGAATAGCCTATTTGGACTTTTGGGGATCTATGTCTGGATGCTATAAGATAGAGGGACTAATTACTTCCACATCGTCATATTTGGAGCAACCCTTGTAGGCTTTCTATCATGTTAATTTGTTTTGAAGAGCCATATATTAGATGACAAGTTCAACCTAGCTGACGACTAGTTATGGCTAGTAACCAGGAAAGCTACTATTTAATAGCAACTCCACAACTAGTTAAAGCTGATTGATGGCTAGTTAAGACTAATAACCAGGTGGACTACTAGTTAACTCTAACGTGACAACTAGTTAAGGCTGGTTAACAGTAGTGGACGACTAGTTAAGAGTAGTACCAGGTCGACTGCTAGTTCAATCGACATGACAACTAGTTAAGACTGACATTAGCTGGCAACTAGTTAAGACTGGCTGACACTAGTTGACTACTAGTTACATCTGGTAAACCTCAACCGACGACTAGTTAAGGCTAGTAACCAGGTCGA